GCCTCCCGGGCCAGGACCCGCCAGGGCCGCCCCAGCGACGAGGGTCGGCCCCGCGGCCCCTGCGCGCACCGCGAGCGAGACTGGGCGGCAGGCAGGTGAGAAGCGGGAGGAGCAGCAGGGCGGGGGGGTGGTCTGCAAGGATCCTCGCGGCCGGGGCTGCTGCTTTCCGTGTTTGTCCGCGTGCATCAGTTACGAAGTGTGCCGCGAGGCCGGACAGCCGCGGCTTCCCTCGGACCTGGGACTCCGAGTCGATTCCCTTCCTCATGGGACTGGTAATTTTTACGTGCGGAGACGTCTTTGCGCCCTGCATTTTCTCCGCAGACCATGCTGGGTTTCCTTCTAAAGTATCCCCCTATCTTTATCTCCACGCTCCGGGTTAGCGCTCAGATGGCAAAGCCCCTTTGCGTAGGGTTTGCGGGGTCCTGCCGGAAGTAATGCGGGCTTGGGATGCTGTCTTAGGGACAGGGGAGCTGAGCGGATGTCAAGGGAGACTGACGTGAATACACACGGAGTTAAGCCCTGGTGTAGTCTTGTATACCGTCTTATTGTTTACTTCTGTCTGGGAATTAAAATACTTTGAATTAGTTAACAGTCCTGTAACTTTTTATTTTATTCAGGCATAGACATATGGGACAGGAACTAGTTGGTAGATGCCTGAATTTGTATCCCAGTCAGAATTTAGGATGACAGATTGATAATCACTGGATTGAGTATATGGGAAACAACAAATGAACGGGGGAAAAAAATGAGGAACACAGGGATTTACTTTATACCAATTGTACTCGACCTTGATGTTTACTAAAAAATGTTTAATTTTGTGTCATAGGCTTGTTGTGGTCAGTTCTCATTCCTCACTGAGCTGGCTTCTCATCCGTGAAATGCAATGAGTGCCCTAATCAACACAGTCATCTATGAAATCACTTTTTAAACATTAAGGTAGTGAAAGCAGACTTTACACAGTTGAGTAAATAGTGAGCAGTGTTGCTGTGTTTTAATATGTACTTTTGATGGAATCAATACCAGTAATCGTTGCAAGGTTGTAATTTTTTTAATTTTATTTAGCAAGTTATACCTTGACTTTCTTAACCCTTCATTTCCTAGCTTGTGTTCTAAGGTTTATATGAAATTAATTTTCCTTTTTTTTTTTTTTTTGTTACAGGCAGAGAGTATGTTATTCCATCCCTGGCCCACAGATTTATGGCAGAGATGGTAGATTTCTTTATTCTCTTCTTTATAAAAGCAACCATCGTTTTAAGCATTATGCACCTGAGTGGAATCAAGTAAGAGTGTGTGCAGACACATTTATTGTCTACCGTTTAGAGATCTTGGTTTGCTAAATTCACGTCTATGAATGTGTGGATAGTGTGCCAGTGCTGTGATTTCTTTAGAGGAGCTTTGTCAGATTTATGTCTTTCTTGTTGGTTTTAAAAAATAACTACAAAAGAGAATACACTCTTAATAAATTTTGTAAGATCTGTGGGAATCTCACCTATTTAAAGTAGGTAAAAGGAGCCTTCAGACCTGGCTTGGGTTAACTTCATTCTCTTGGGCCAGGAACTATTTTTCCTCTTATTGCTGCGTTCAGTAGAGGGTCAGTGAAAAGGATAAGGAGGAAGACCCTCCACGAAGTGGACTGACACAGTGGCCGCAACAGTGGGCTCAAGCGTAACGATTGTAAGGATGGCACAGGACCAGGCAGTGTTTCGTTCTGTAGTTCATAGGGTCGCTATGAGTCAGAACCGACTCGACGGCACCTAACAACCACAGTTGGATTCCGAGTGGAGTATCTAAAGACAAAGGTATAAAGAGCGTTTGGTAGATGAACCATTGATGATCAAGTATATGGCCTTTCCAAATGGGATTGCTTCCTCTAATACTGTCAGTGCAAACCCCAAGTGAACTGCAGAGTGAGCCTTTATTTCAGTAATCCTCCTTTCAAGGAACAGTAATCATAATGCACTTTGTATGCTAGTCATTGAGCTCATCTCTTTAGATGGATTTTTTAATATTAGTATCACTATGAGGTAAAAGGAGCCTTGGTGGTGCAATGGTTAAGCGCTTGGCTGCTAACAGAAAGGTCAACGATTCAAACTCACCAAGAGAAAAGACCTGGCAATCTGCTTCCATAAAGATTACAGCCTAGGAAACCCTATGGGGCAGGTCTGTGCTGTACCGTGGAGTTGCTATGACTCAGAATTGACTCGACAGCACACAACTCGAGGTAGAGGTTAATATCGCCATTTTACAGAGGTTGAAATTTAGGCTCAGAGAAGTTACAGAGGTAGCAACAGAGTCAAGATACATACTTATGTAGCCAAATTTCAGAGCCGGGTACTCGAGTAGTCCTATTCCTCCTCGTCACTCTCGCCCTCCCCTCCGCCGACACACTCACTCAGATACCAACTCCCTCACATCAGGCTCCTGCATAGTTTTCCATCAGACTGTTTTCCTCGTCATCGCTTCTCCGTAGTCCAGTCACTGTTGTCTCTTGCCTGGATTACCCGTCTCCTGTTTCACCTCAGGCCGGTCTCTGATGTAAAACCAAACTGATCATAAATTCTGATCCTGCCCCCTCCTACCTTAAATCCATAGTAGTTTCTCAGTGCCCTCAGGACGAAGTCTCAATTTCTCCGTAGGGTTTAGCAGATCTCACATGATCTTATGTCGCAGTCACCGTCACCTTTCCCCCTTAGTATTGGAGCCATACCACACTGCTTTCAGTTTCCACCACATGCTCTCGCTCTGAGCTTTTCTCTTCTGCTGCTTCCTTTCTCTGGAATTCTCTCACCCTTTCTTAGTCCAGCCAACTTCTCCTCACCCCTCATATTCCAGCTTAAATGTCATTCCTGGGAAACCTTCACTAGGTTAAATGCAGCTGGTACATATTTCCATAGGACCCTATGGTTGCTTATAGTAGTTCTCAGCCTATTTTTTGTTACTACGTCTTTGTTTTTCTTTTTTCCCTATTATGTTAGAATCTCCAGCGAAGCAGAGACCATGTTGAAATCACTCACCATTATATCCCCAGGGCTAGTATAGTGCTTGTTCATAATAATGCTTATTATTTGTTGACTAAGCTAATGAATGAATGTTTTGTGAAATTAGATGGCTGGGAACATTTCTAAGGATTAGTTTATCATTTCAGTTAAAGTTATGAATTAACCCTTAAAAAGAAAAAATGAGTGCACTGCTGTGATAACTAACTTTTGTAACCCAGAACTGTTCTGTGATTTTCGCAGGGATATCTCTAAGTTTGCTATGCATTATATAATAGAAGAGATAGACGAAGACACGTCAATGGAAGACTTGCAGAAGATGATGGTTGTGGCTCTTATATACCGACTATTAGTTTGTTTCTATGAGGTAAGCTCCCGGCTTCAGCAAATTCCACTATTCAACAATCTAATTTTAGATTATCAGCCCAAGACAAAAAAGTAGCAGAAATTTATAATTGTTGACATATTTGACAAATGTTTCTACTTTTCCTAAATTCTCTAACATATTTTTTTTTCAAGTGAAAAAAAATCTTTCTGAAGGGAAAATTTTCTGATTCTTTTGTAATATATTTTAGCCTTAGAAATTAAAATAAAATTTTATGTATAGTTTCTAACTCATAAACAGGTTGTGGTTGTGAAACGTGAAATATATTTTACCATGGAAACCACTTGCTAAACAGTATAATGGGTCATCAGGAAGTGTCACAGTAGACGTCTGCTGGTGTTGAAGCTCTTGAGACCTGCGGACATGCAGTGAAAGGTGACCTTGGAGTGGCTTGTTCATAGCAGTCTGTGAAACATTATCTTTCCACATGAAATAGTATGGCGGGAAAGCTTACCTTTAAAGTTGGCATAGTTGAGCCAGTGACTTATTTTTAAATGACCCTTCTTTCTTCAGATAATTTGCATCTGGGGAGCAGGTGGCGCTACCCCAGGGAAGTTCCTGCTGGGGCTTCGTGTTGTGACGTGTGACACATCAGTACTTATTGCACCAAGTCGGGTTTTAGTGATTCCGTCCTCAAACGTCAGCATTACGACGTAAGTCCTTTCCTTTGCTCACTCTACTGTATACTCTCTTGACAATAATGTCTACTAATCTGTGATTCATAAATTACAGTATTTGATACTGTTTTTAGAATTTTGGTATTTTTTATCTTCATCCTTCCCAGATGGCATACAGTTAGACAGAATTACATTAAGTTTTAAAACAAAGTCTGTGAGTGTTTCTTTCAGTCGTGTACTTTGTCGAGATGACCATCTTATTAAATACAGGTCACAACAATGAGAGGACGGTTGGGAGTTGATGCTGTACCCCTATCAGTGTTTCATACCTGTTTATTATTAATTATTATTATTATTATTCTCACATCAGTGGACATCAGGTCAGTGGACTGTCACTGTCCATCGTGAATAGGGAGAAGAGTTTAGACAGCTGGGCCTGCGTACATCCTGCTCTCACTCTTAAGTGAGAGGACTTGTAACACCCCCGTAACTCTGCACTAGTGGCGTCTGGCCCCAAGGGAGGGTGCAGCTAATGAGAATGGAAGTTGTGGGGTCGAATGGTGGTCATCATTTGACCAAAACAAGATACTGGCTGGAATTGCTGCCAGAGTGATTCAGGGCTGGATTGTTACATAAAGAAATGCGTGAAACTAAGTGAAACCTTTATTTTGCTGACATCCTCAAAATTACCTTAAAATTTTGTGGTTACGTAATGTTTCCTGGTTACTACTTTTAATTTTAAAATCAAATGAGAGAGTCAGTAACAGCTAATGTTTATTGAACACTTTGTATATACCAGGAACTGCTAAGTGGTGCATATGTGTTAACTGATTTAATCCTGACAACCTTACAAGATAGGTACTTTTATCCCTTTTTTTGCATAACTAGTAAGTGGCTGTCTTAGTTATCTAGTGCTGCCATAACAGAAATACCAAGTGGATGGCTTTAACCAACAAATTTATTTTCTCAGTTTAGGAGGTTGGAAGCCTGAATTCTCTGTTGACTCGGGGGGAAGGTCCTTGCTCGTTTCCCTGGTGATCGTCACGTGGTGTGGCGTGTCCTCCGCCATCTCTGCTGCTTCTCTGTGTCTAATCTGCTCTTTTACAAGAGCCCCTACACTGATATGGCCTCTTAACATGCAAAGAAAACCCGTTCCCAAATGGGATTATAACCACAGGTATAGGGGTTAGAACTTACAATACATATTTTTGGGGGACACAATTCAGTCCATAACAGTAGAATAAGATGAATTTGAAACCACCTCGTCTGAACTCAGATCCCACACTTTTCTGTAGCCTCTCAGTGCACAAAAAGGCGGACACCTAGCATTAGTAGATTAACTCTCCATTCTGAACTATTATTGAAAGTTTTTTAAAGCTTTTTCAGGATCTCATAAAGAAGGGAGCTGAAAAGAGAACACTGAAAATAACTTAAAATCCTAGCACTGCATCTGAGGTCTAAATGGACCACAGTGGGCATACTCAGTCTAGAACATACTGGAAACACGTGGCGGCAGTGAGTGGCTGTAGAAAAGGCAGCTGGAGGGACCAGTGATTCTCTTCTGCTGGCAGGAACCCCTAGTTCACACACTAAGACGTGTTTATTGCTGTTTTTCCTGTGAGAGTTTTAAAGTCGTTATGTTGAAGTCCGTGAGGTTTGATCATGATGTAATGCTATTTGAAAATAACTCACATATCAAAAGTTAAAAAAATTGGTCAGCAATATTTTAAATGTTTTTAAATATGTATTTCAAACTTGACAGAATGCCATTTGTCTACATGTGGTTGATGTACAACATACCTGATGTTTTTTGCTTTAATTTTTAGGTCCACCATTCGAGCTTTGATCAAGAATTTTTCTATTGCTTCTTTTTTCCCTGCTTTCATCACACTGCTGTTTTTTCAGCATAATCGAACAGCCTATGACATTGTGGCAGGAACCATTGTGGTCAAAAGAAACGGAGTCAGATGATGCCAGAAAAAGCCCTGAATTCCATGTGGTCTGGAATATTGACAAGACTAAATTATGTATTGAGGCCATCAGTATCCCTGGGTTTCATTAATTGATGATTGAGAAATTAAAGCAGTCGCTCCAGTGTGATGCAGGTGACTATTCTGAAAGTATTGATTTCCTTGAATGCCAAAGAACTTTTCCAGAAGAGAAACAATACCTGTTAAAGTGTTAAAATTTTTAGATTGAAAGAAGGCAAGTGGTTTCATAATGAACTGTGGACGGTATATACTTTCTTAAGATCTAAAGCTTTAGAATTTGCTGAAGCGTTGTCAGCTTTGAAACCTCCAAATCAAATTTCTAAAATTTATTTTGGCGTATCCCAAGATTGTGGAAAATGTTGAGTTGTGTTTTGTAAACACCTATATAATTCATCATTTAGTTAACACTTCTCTGGGGAATTGTCTTTAGTGTCTGAGGGAGAGGGAAGAGGAAGAGAAATCTGGTCACCTACTTACCTCCCGTCAAAGAGGTGGAGCTCTGAGCTGCAGGCGAGGGGGCCCAGTGAAGCAGGCCTGGCCGCTCCCTGCCCTGACGTTTTTAAATCCCTGCCGCAGTGTACGTGGGAATGATGCAGCTTTACAACTGTTCTTCATGCTTAATGTATTTGGGGCCAAATTTTGCATGATGATGAAAAAGTATTGTCATACTTCTATATTATCATGGATTTTTAAAGGAGAAGGTGAGTTAGTGATTGCTTTTAATGGGGAGGGGGGTGAGTTTTTGCTGTAAACGTAACTTAAAATTCACGTGCAAGTGTTTTAGTTCACAAATTTACTGTAAAACAATATTCTCGGTATGTGTGCGGCATGAAGAAAGTATTAGTGCTTGTCAGTGTTCTGGATGTGGGTGTCATTTCTCTCTATGTACAGGGGATTCCCGTGACTGTGGAAGCCTCAGACAGTGTAGTACATATCTGAACACTAGCAGCCTGTGAGAATGTTGCAGGGAGAGTATCATCTCCAGATGGTGGTCTGCGTTCACTTCTGTGAGCCAAAAGCTCCTCTTGGGCCTGCAAGGGATGGAAGTTTTGGGGGACATAGTGGGCAAAATAATACTCTGTATATTACCATTTTAATTTATTCTATTGAAGCAAAGTTGTGGGTTTTGGTGTATGTGTGTGTCTTTGTTAGGTGCCCCAGTTAGCTGTGTTGAGGTACACCGGTACTATTTATAGTTTATTTGGTTCTTGGCATTTGTTCCATCTTTGATATTATTTTCCCAGGAAACTCTAAGCTCCGTCTAAGCCTTCGTCTTAAATCTAAAAATAGCAAATGAAGACACATCTTTCTTACCACTCTATCGGTCGTTGGGGTTTTTCTTTGACATTTAAAAATGTGAAATTACATATTCACATCTGATGTTTAGAGAAACTTTAACAATGTCCTTATTTATACTGTTTTATTGTAAAATTTCATAAACCATGTTTTTCAAAATGATTTTCTATTAAATCCAGCTTCACAGAAAGCCAGTTAGTTCAGCGTGTCAAAGCACTAAACAGATCATTCACTTGTAGACTCTGGATTAGTGTTATGGCCCTTCACTGAAAAAGAAGAAGAAGAAGAAATCTGTAACTTGGTAATCAGACTAGAAAGTAGGAAATGTTACTCCTCAGTTTCGCATTTGGTATTGCACACGTTAGCACTGGTGTGCACACTACTGCTGCCGCTGACTGGGGAATTCAAGTTGCAGTGTATTCCAGAGCTACATGACTGAAGGACATCTCTGATTTACAGTTCCCGGTCAGATAACTGAATGGCTCACCATCTGGGCTGTTTTTATTTATGATGTGGTAAAATAAAAGCAAACAAGAGTCCAGTTTAATTCATGTACAGTATTATACATTTGCTATACTTGAGTCATTCAGATTAATATCTGTGTGGGTTCATTCAGATCCAAGTTACACTATAAAGCCCTAGAAAGTGTACAGCAGTATTACTCGTTTGCCTTTATGTTGAAATCCAAGTGTTTCCATTTGTGCATGCAGAACTTAGGGAAAGGGATTTTAATTCCTAAATAGTTCCCCGAAATGGCAAAACAGTGGGGGTTAGGGAAAACCACATTTTTTGTCTTTGGGATTGTTGAAGAGGGGAATCTGCTTTTCAAAACACTTTTCTATTTATGTTTTTCATTAATAGAAATACTGATCTTCTGTATCAAAGAATAAATGTAATGCTGAAGCTCTAGCCTAAAAAGGCAAAAAGAAGTCTCCATGGTAAAAACATTATTCCTCATTTTTATAAGATAAGGGAACAAAAATTAGGAGTTAAGCTGAGTGAGAATACTACTTCAGTGAGCATGTCCTCAGTAAGTTAAAACCTCCAGACACAAGATCACAGAATTGGCAGTGAATTCAGTCATGGAGAAATGTCAGCACCCATCACGGAAAGCAGCCTGAGTGGTTACTGCACCTCGAGACAGGCTGGATCTAAAACTAAGTCAATGTTCGTGCTGGGGCCAGAAGTAGGTCTGGGTAGGTAAGTGCGGATGATCGCAGGCCTTGCTTTTTAGACTGTTCCATGACTCTAGAAACAAAGTCAACACTTAGGGATAGTCAGCCTTCACCTGCCAGTATTTGTAGTAAAAGTATTGCTTGGCTGATACTTTTGTGGCGCTGGTTCAGTAGTTACCAGTTCAGCAGTAACCTTTCTACCTGAACACTTGCCCTTCCAAGGGAAAAAAAGCGTATTTGTGAAGCACTTTTTCTTCAGTGTCTCTTATTGTTTCAAATGACAGTCAAAATTGTTTTTACTGGGGGGAAAAGGAGTTTGTTCCCTTCAATAACTTGTTTGGGTGTTTCGCTTATGCATAACCATTTCTAGCAAAGGGAAGGACGTAAAAAGGAATTGAAAAATTAGTTTAGACACTAACTAACTACTTAGGAATAAAGAGCATTTTGGCATGGCGGGGCGGGGGAGTACCAACAAAATACCAAACCTGTTGCTGTCTAGTCTGTTCCGACTCATAGCAACCCTACAGGACAGAGTAAAACTGCTACATACGGTTTCCAAGGAGCTCCTGGTGGATTCAAACTGCCAACCTTCTGGTTAGCAGCGGAACTCTTTAACCACTACACCACCAGGGTTTTCTTGAGGTGGATAGGAGCATTGAAAAATTTTTCACTGTACTCTTGTTCCTATTAAAACAGGCTATTGTTTGTTTTGACAAATATGCCTAAATGATGGTATGCCTAAAACTGCATAGCTCGAAAAGTGTCATTTCACACACCACCCCTGCCCACTAAACCAGAGGCCAAAATCTACCTGTGCTTGCTTGGATGAAGCTCCTCATTTCAAACAGTGTATGTGTGCTTCCTTGCAGTTCACTGTAGTAGGACTTGACCCGCAAACAGTATCTGATGGCCAGCCTAGAAGTAAAATTCAGCATTCTATTTTTAATAATTTGTATACCACCAATTTGTATTCTTTGTCTCAATAAATACTTGGTCACTGATGCTTTTGTTTTGCCTGTTTCTTTGAGAATGTTTACTGTTTTAAAAATGTTTATCTTTGACCTTGAATCTCCTGCTTAGGGACGCCCTGCTTCCAGTTAGCTTTTCTGGCATTCTCCACCTTCAGGTGTGCACATGGTGGGCCTTATGGCCTTCAGGTGTGCATGTGATGGGTATTATGGCTACAGCAGTGAACTAGAGTACCTTCAGAATCAGAGGGCTATCAAAGAATCATCCCCTTTTTAAAAGTTATTCTTTTAACAAGAACACTCAAAAGTTACCAGTAGATAACTAAGCTTAAAGTAATCCTGCTCTTAAGAATTGTTAACCATCACAACCACCATATAAAATATTAAGAACCTCAGGTGTTAACTCCTGAGGAAACAGTTCAAAGGCTCAGAGATAGATAGTAAATGGCTGGGCTAGGCAGTTGAAACCTAGTTCTGACCTTAAAAGCCTTTCTTATTCTAACCTTTAAGAAGAGGTCTGGAAGGGGAAGAAAGGATACAAAGGTCAGGGTCCTCAAAAGGATAAACATAATAAACTTCAGCTAAAATATGGCCTGGTCTGACTCCTACAGATGATGTGCTGTTTGATCCCCACCACAATCTTACATGTTTTAGTATAGGGGGCCTTTGAAAAGTTAATTCTTCCACATTACAAGGAAATGCAGGCTCTGAATGGCATGGTCATAGAGCTGGTTGGTGCATGAACCAGCAGGCTATTTTCTCAGTTTTACACTAGATTTGTCAGTTTCCATTAAACACACAGGGCTAAGCTTTGTAAAATGTCCAGTGAAATTTTTAAAGAGGCCCAGAAAATGACATACTAAATAAAGCAAACGCATTCTTCGCAGGCTAAACCACGAAGTTTACTGTCTCGTTACAAACGGTTAATATCAATTAAGTACTTTTCTTTCAAATAATGAAATTCTACTTACATAAGCAATTTCAGGAGCATTTGTAACAAATAATAAAAGCAGCCACAGGAAGCAGATCAGAGCTGGGTCTGTAGCCTGAGCCAGTCCAGTAAGGTGATTGATGATAGTTCTGTGGGGCATGTACCGAGTGCAGTCGAGAGCCGCCATATGCAGTGTGAGAATGGAGCCAGGGCAACGGAAAGCAGTTGAGATGAAGAAAAACAAGTCCTGAGTTCTGAAGATGGCCCTAAAGCCTTCAGTTTTGGAGGCCAAAAGATTTCATTTTTAACATAAGCCATGTTAAGTATGATTTTCAGTCACCTGCTTAAAAAAATACTAAATGACTGGAAGCTCATTATTTCTATAGTATTTTTAATCAAGATATTTCCAGAGTGGAAAGTCTTAATATTCCCAACCACATGGGCCTAGAGAGTGGCTACCTACTGGCGTGGGATTTAATTAGGCATTTAACTTCTCAACATCAAGACCACAGATGTCCAGTTTGCTTCTTTCTTCCGGCAGTCAACATCATTGTTGGCCCCCCAAACAAGTCAGTACCAAATATGTAGTATTAATAAAGTGCATGTTATAAACCCCAAAACAGGCATTTGATTAAGAAAAATACCTTTAGGGGAAATCACAACTTGACAAAGGCAAAGTCAGAGGAGTTTTCCTGGACACAGCCAAACACCTTGAGGGACCAAGTTACTGGGGCTGAGGGCTGGGGACCATGGTCTCAGGGGACATCTAGGTCAATCGGCATAACATAGTTCATAAAGAAAATGTTCTACATCTACTTTGGTGAGCAGCGTCTGTGGTCCTAAAGGCTTACGAGTGGCCACCTAAGATCCATCTATTTGTCCCAGCATATCTGGAGCAAATGGGAATGAAGAAAACCAAAGACACAAGGAAAATATTCATCCAAAGGGCTAATGGACCACATTAACCACAGCTTCCACCAGCCTGAGCACAGAAGAATTAGACGGTGCCTGGCTGCCATCACCAACAGCTCTGACAGAGATCACAATAGAGGGTTCCGGACAGAACCATAGTAGAACATAATAGAATAGAATAATAGAATAATAATAGAATAATAGAATAGAACATAGTAGAACAAAATTCAAATTCACAGAAAAGGACCATACTTAACTGGTCTGACAGAGACTGAAGAAAACCCTGGACTATGGCCCCCAGACACCCTACCAACTCACAACTGAAGCCACTCCCAAAGTTTACCTTTCAACTAAAGATTAGATGGGCCTATAAAACCAACAATAACACACGTGAAGAATGTGCTTCTTAGTTCAGTCAAGTATATGAGACAAATGGGCAACACTTGCCCAAAAGCAAAGGTAAGAAGGCAGGAAGAGACCGGGAGACGGGACGAACGGACACAGGGAACCTGGGGTGTAAAGGGAAAGGGGGAGAGTACTGACACATTGCAGGGACTGCAACCAATGTCACAAAACACTCCGTGCATAAATTTTGGATTGAGAAACTAATCTGCACTGTAAATTTTCACCTAAAGCATAATAAAATTAAAAATAACTTTGTTGGAAACAAAAAAGCTACTAAACATTTTAAAGTTCTGAATTTAGATTCTAACCAACCAGAAGTTCAACAAATTAAAGTGAGCACAAAATAAATGTGCATTCGAATTCAAGAATAAAATTTACCAAATGCTGTTCCAAGAGCTCTCTTTATGGACCACATTTAAAAAAAAAAAATCCAGTAAAAATAATACAGGAAAATAATCCAAACAAATTGTACAAATGGAACAATGCAATCTGTGTTTTGGGCATCTATTTCCGAGAGCTCAATCAATGATCATGGTTTAATAACTTAGCAAGGAAGGTGCAAGTACAAGCAGAAATGACTGTATTATGTTTACTTTCTACTTTTTAAAAAGGCATGTAAATGTATTGCAAATTTGGCATTGATTCCCAGCTCCAGGCAAGAGGCAGGGTACCGTTAAAACTACAATAAAAAGTATTTCATAATTTTTTATTGATGGCATTTATCCCATGGTTTAACATGTTAATTATACTGTAATAAACATGGCTTTAATATTAAACTTTTCCTTATTATCCAAAGTCACCACAGTCCATTTCAGTAAATATAAAAATATATGCTTAATAATACTTTGTACAATACTGGTTTTTGGTCCAAACAAAACTGGATCAGAAAAGCCAATAAATTCACTTTAAGAATCCCCAATTTTTTTTTTTTTTTTTTTTTTAAGATTTCCAAATGGATTTAGGCAACTTTGAATAATGGGATTTACATAATAAAATCTGAGACAAGACTAAACAAACAACAAAAAAAATTTCTAACACAAAATTAAAATTTCAAGTTCACAGATTTATGTTATGCCAAAAAAGTACAGAAACAAAATTGTATTTACACAAATTTCATAATAAAATAATGAAAAAGGCAAGACAGGTGATAGTCATAAGAATGAAACTATAGAAATAGCATATAATCATGAAATGGAGAACTAGATCTAACAAGTCCTCAGCAGGGACCAGTCCTTAATCAGGCTTCCTCTATCAGAAAGGTTTAGTGCACAGTACACCCAACTCACTCACTTCACACATACACCAGCACAAACTCAGCATAAAAATCATTCATTTCAACATCCTCTAATCTATACAGAATTCCTCAGAGAGAATTACAATGTCAACGCGCTCCACAAACGCACATCAATGCCAAGAGTGGTGCAGACGAAGAGGTTCGATACAAAGCCATCACTGTGAGGGCTCTCTCCTGGGCACAGCCAGACCACACCAAACCAGTGATACTCTGCTGGATCATAAAATGTTTCTGTTGAAGAGTCAGTCACCAGGCTAGCTATTATTTTAAAAAAGGGGTGGGTGGGGTGCGGTGAGGGTAGGGGCTTCTGTAAAGAAAGAGAAAGGAGGAAAGTTCCAAAATTAAAGATGTCCTCAGGCAAATACGACTTCAGATAACGCCAGCGTGTAGCACAATCCAGGATCTGAAAGCAGGGCACCAGCTGTCAGTAAAACTCTTGTGTATAACACCTCTGTGGCCTTTATTTTCTACGTCTAACAGCAGTCTTTATCTTGCGACCAGAAACTGAAGTTCCGGAAGAAGAGAACAGACTTTTCCCATTTGACCTGTGAAAAATAAAACTTCATGTGACATGATGCTCGGAGAAACATTTCAAAATCATAAAACACTAAACGCGACCAGCAAGAGGGGGGAGAAACACGTTGTCAACGTAAACACATTTCCTGCCACACCTTGCACACACAGACCACTGATGTTTTTCTCAGGCTAGCATCCTCCAGAATTGTTTAATACGGCAAATTGGTGTGGGAGAACATATTTAATTTTACCCAAACTAAACTGTGCACTTCAGTGATTTTAAAAAACAGAACACACAATGCATGCATGCACACGCCTTTATGCTAAATTCTCCATTTCAACAAGATGTTAGTTCTCTCACCCCACGGTGAACGGTGCTGAAGGCGGGCTGAACGGAAATCCCCCTGAGCCTGAAGGCCGGGCGGAGGCTGCAGGTGTGCTGGAATTTGCACCAAATGTGAACACTCCTGATGGATTGTTGTTGGTGAAGTTGAAATTTGTAGTGGTGCTGCCAAATTGGAAAACCGGACCTACAGTATTCAAGCAGAAGTACTTCAAAGTGTTGTCTCACTGAGGCAGAAATGACTCTGATCTTTACATACAAACACATTGTGAGCGGTAAGCTCTCTACAGTCACTTAGAGAAAGCTAACATCCACTGTCTCCACTGATACAGAATACAGACTTGACACCCCCCAACAAGTGACACCCCTTACCTGTGACCCAAAGGGGGCAAAGTGGTCTTCTGGCTAAAGGCAGAATAAACAAACACCTTAGCTCTCTGTCTTCTCCAGAATAGCAAAAGACCAACACCCGCTGCCATCGAGTCGATTCCGACTCAGTTACCCTGTAGGACAGAGCAGAACTGCCCTATAGGGTTTGCAAAGCTGTCATCTTTATGGAAGTGGACTGCCACATCTTTCTCCCATGGAGCAACTGGTGGGTTTGAACCATCGACCTTTAGGTTAGCAGCTGAGTGCTCAACCACTGTGCCACCAGAACTCCCTCTTCTTCAGAAATGGCATTAAAATAAACGTAAAGGGATTTTGACAAAGATGGGGGAGCAGAGACATGGCAACAAGAGCGGAGAAGCTGGAAGGCTGACTGGGGCTGAAGACTGAGCTCGGGGAAGGGAAGAAGTCTTCGTGAGTGTGAAAGCGGGACGGAAGGAAGGCAGGACAGGCAGAGTATCTGTTTAAGAAGCAGAGACCTAGATCAATCCCCACCACAACACCAAACAAGATGGTAACGCCCCCCCTCCACCCCAGAGGTTCAGTCTCTAGCGAGGTACCTGGACTGATGGTACCAGGCAGAGCTAAGGACAAGGCTATCTTACTGAAAAAGGGAGAGGAGAGGTAGCTGACTTGATGAATACTGAGATCTCCACCCTTCCTCACAGCTCAGCGCCCAGAACACTGGCAACCAGACGAGAGACTGGAGGGATCGTCTCTGGGGAATGTGACAGACTGAGAGGAAAGACCAAAGACCCCAACAGCCAGGTTTTCCCAAGTAAACAGTCCAGCCAGCTAACGCTACGACAACATTCAAGATCTACAAGCCCAATCCGTGTCCAAAGAATTTTTAAGAGGTATTTAGGTATCCTATTCAGACAACTAAGGATCACCAGACATTTGGGGAAAGCAGTAAGAAACACTGATGTCAAAATAGTAATAAAAAAATCAATTTGGAGAAAACGAAGCAAGGTAGTAAAAACTTAAAAAAATCATTCACACCCTCAGAGATTAATAGAGAACACCACGCTCATGATACAAACCAAGGCAATGTAAGAAAGAATCATCCTGAGAATAAAAAAGAGCATCTGGAAATTAAACAACATAACAGTGCGAAAGACGCTTCAACAGAAGGGGCGGTACATCGTAAACCGAAGAAATCTCCGCGTAAAGTACAAGACAGCAGAGAACAAAGGAGCACACAGACACTAGGTTGGCATACTAATCCCGGAGACCCAGTCTCCAAATACATTTGCCAGAAAGAAAGGCAGCTTAAAAAGAGAGGAAACACTTCAATGGACCCACACCAAGGCACGCCATCCTGGTATTTCAGGGCACTGGAGACAAAGCAACAGATTGTAACAACGCTCTAAAAAGAAGAAACAGGTCAACCAATATCACAAAACAATATGTGTATTAACTCTTTAATGAGAAACTAATTTTCTCTGTACACCTTCATCTAAAGCACAACCAAAAATAAATAAATAAAAGCAAAAATCAGCAAAGAGACTTCAAGAGCAACTGTGAGAGCCAGGAAGTCCACAATGGAAAGTTGTGCAAATTATTTCCAGTCTAAAAATACATGTTGAACCAAAAATCTTAATCAAACGTGGAGGCAGATTAAGATCCTCCCAGAAATGCAGGCTCTCAAAATCTTCTTCCCTGCACCCTTACGCAAGAAATCACTGGAAGATGTGCTCTATCAAAACAAGGGAGCTGACAGCCGGGGCACAAACAAATACCTGCACACCAGTGGTCACTGCGGCACCATTCACAATCGCTAAAAGGGAGATAAACAAGTTGTGGGGTCTACATACAATGGAATACAATTCAACCACAAAGAGAAATGAAGTTCTGATACGCGCCATGACATGAATGAACTTGGAAACATGCTGAGTGAAAAAAGTCAGACATCAAAGTACAAATACTCAGGGGCTTCGAACAGGTTCTGCCCGGTTCAGTCATGGCCAAGGACGTGTCACCGGAACACACCCTAATGTTTAAAGTTACGGCAAAGACAGAAACAACAAGAAAAATTACAGGTCGAAGCCCCCGCTAGAACTTAACTTCTCTTAGAGAACAAGGGCAACGTATGCGTTGCACAGCAACCAGATCTCTTGTCCTCAGACTCTGAGCAGAGTCGGAAGCAGCGCTGCCCGGCTCAAAGGTGGTGGCCGACAGTGCTGCCATCAATGTGTCGCTCTCCTCGGTCCTGGCAATAATCCAATCTCACCCTCCAGGCTCCTGAAAGGGCTCACTATGCCTCTTCGGAGTCTCCCATTCCAGGGCTTCAACCGATAATTTTTACTGTTCTGGGTATCGTGCCGAATCTGCTGAATTGGAAAACTTTGGGTCTGTTCCTGTTTCGCTTTGTTGGCCATGACTCAACTTGTTCGAACCAGTTCAAAGCCCTGCAAGTATTATGTGAAATATCCAGAATGGGCAAATGCACAGAGACCAAAGTTTATAGGACTGGAGGGAGGGGAAAAGGGGGAAGTTGTTGCTTAACGGGCACTGAGTCTCAGTTAAGGATGATTAAAAAAACTTGGAAATGTAAAGTGGTGACGGTTGTACAGCATGGTGAGTGTAATTAACGTTACTGAATTGTACACTTAAAAATGGGTAAAATGATAAATGTTCTGTTATATATATATTCACAATTAGAAAAAAAAAAGGGTGAAAACCCAAAAGAAGATATGACATTGAGGAAACAGAGGTTCCTGTAAGAGAAAGCTAAAAAGAAATCTCCAAGATCATGGTAACAAGAGATCCCCAAGACCACAGTTAAACAGCCGGATTACAAAGCAACCAATCTTGTAGGAGAAGACAGTTAACAGACCCTATGAGAAATTTCCTTCAAACAGTGAAAAACAGCTAATATATTTGAACATATTGAGAAAATATTTGTACAAACGGGAGAAGAGTTAAAGTTTGAATTTGTGATAAGAACAAAAAAACTTGAACAAAGAAAGGGAATCATTAACGCCAGAGAAAACAAAATTTGATGTTGGATGATAGCTCTAACCAACTCCACAGCAGAAAACCCCCGAGTTTAGACTGAACGGGACAGAGAAAGAACGAAAACAGAGAACGCTGTTAGCCTCTTGGAATTCTATAGGCAGGAAACAGGCCAGAAGAGCTACATCTGTTATCTTCTAACAAAAGAAAAGAACCATCCCTGGAACAGCTCAGAGATCAGCAGAACTGCTGGAAGGAGCAAAGAAACCAGGGTTGCCTCACTTTCAAAGAGTGAAGTCCTGGTCTCCTAGGTCTCAAAGTCTGGAGCCCACAGCCTTTGAGTTTTCAAAGGGTGGGGTCACACAGTCTCCTGGGTTTCAAACAGTAGGATATTCACCAACTCGGTTCCAGAGTGTGGAGCTGCCGTTCAGCAGTGCCAGGGGACGGAGCTGCTGCCCAAAGCTGAGGGGGTGGGGCTGCCACTCAGATGGACTAGGAGAATAGGTCTGCCCAAAGCCAAGGGAGCACAGTTGCCATCCCAGTGGGCCTGGAAGGTAGAGCTGAAGCCCAGGGTCAAGGGGCCTCCACTTAGAATCCAGAAAGTGTGGCCAACACCCAGAGTCTGAAGGGCGGGGACTTTGCCCAGAAGGTCTCAGAGAACAGAGGATTAGTTTCAAGCCTTGAGAGATCATATAATTTGTTCTGCTGGGTTCTGAACTTGCTTGGTGCCTGATATCGCTTCTTTCCCTCCAATTTCTGCCATCTGTAATGGAAATGTCTACCTTGTGCCTGTTCTACCATTGTACTTTGGAAGCAGATAATCTGTATTCTAGATTTTACAGGTTCACAAATGAAGAGGAATTTTGTCCCAGAATGGAATATGCCTGAAGTTTCACCCATATTTGATTTAGATGTTTCAAAAGATGAAATTTTGGACTTGGAGTTGATTTAATACTTTTGTGATGATGTGATGGGCTGAGTATGTTTTGCATGTGGCAAGAACATGAATTTGGGGGGGGGGGTGTCAAAAGGTGCAACGTTATGGATTGAATTACATCATATGCACTAACACGAGAAGATGCTCAAGATACACTGTTAAGTGAAATGGAAATTGCAGACCAATATGCAATGCATAGTATGAGCTCTAAAACTGTGTGCGCGCGCGCGCGCGCCAGGAAAAGGCAGTAAGGAATCATACCACCCACTTAATGGTGGTTGTTTCTGGAGGTGGGGAAAGGAGATTCTCATGTTGTCTTTTCTATGATACAAAAAAAAATGGTAAATTATGGATAATTCTGATTTTCTTTTTCGTGTTTTTCATATTTTAAAAAACACACACACACACACACAACAAAACAAAACAAAAAAAAATCTGGTGCTGGATCAGAATACTGATCTAGCCATACAGGAGTCTGGAGAGAAATTTTACCTTGTGAAAGAAGGCTAAACTCTTGAATTCCATATTGCAAAAATCAATAAATCCTGTTTTAAATGGTTCATACGTGTTACAAAACGGGGAATTTGCCACATATGTTCAATGGCAAAGGACTCAGAATACATAAAGAACTCCTACAAATCAATAAGCCAAACAACCTAATAGAAAAGCTGCCCAAAAACCCCAACTAGAATCTCATACTATGGTGGCAGGATGTAAACTGGCACAATCCATCATACTTCTAAAGTCTAAGATATGCACACCTTTTACTTCAGCAATCTCATTCCAGGGTATATACCCTAGAAAAACATACATATGTGCACCAAGATACATATACAAGAATGAACAGAGCAGCATTCTGTAATAGCACAAAGCAACTCCAACATCCATCAATATAAATGGGTTAACGGTGGTATATTCATACAGTGATTTATTCTACAACAATGAAAATGAACAAACCAGACGCAGTAACATGGATAAACCTTCTAAACGAAGAAAGAACGAGAGCAGCAAGACTTAGTGAGATTCCATTTCTATAGTCAAAAGTCAGGCAAACTATGTTTTAGAGATGCATACACAATTAGTTAAATTTTAAAGAAAACAATTACCACAAAAGCCAAGAACAGTGGTGACTGCTGAAGTGGGTAAGGTAAGAGGAAATGATCCCATGAGGGCTTCCAGGCAGCAACTGCACAAGTATTTGCATGAACAGCCAACACAAAGTGTCGTGTGACAACTCGACTGAACTGTCCTAGCCGCGGAACAACTTCCTGAGTGAATTCAATCATAAAGAAGCAAACAAAGCATGAGAAAATAGGGCCGAAATCTAGGCTAAAGAGCCCCAGTATTCAGTCAGGGAGAAATGGGACTGACCTTAAGTACCTAAGTTAAAAAGTAAGGAAGGACTGCATTTTCAATACAGACTTTAATAAAGGTTATAGCTGTGTGAAAGCTGGCAATGTTGTTTATATTTAAGTCTAAACATACACCTCCCTCATCTAAGTAATAGGGTCGCTATGAGCTGGAACCGACTCGACAGCACCCAACAACAAGAACAACACTCTAAGTACAAGAGACAATAAACAAAGATACACTTTAACATTTTTAAGACACACAGAACCTAAGTGCAGAGACAAACCACGTCACTGCACACACTTACCGGAATTAGGAGCTGCTCCTGAGCCAAAGGCAGACTGAGTAGGCTGCTGTCCAAACACGGGAGGCTGGCTACTGCTTGACACTGTCCCAAAAGTAGGTGCTGCAGGCTGAGAGCCAGTGGAAAATAAAGCTGTGGAAGATGCTATAGATCCAAAGCCTGGTGGATTAGGCTGGCTGGCACCCTGACTTTGCCCAAATGTTGGGGTCTGACTAGCACCAAATGCTGGACTGGCAGATGGTGTTGAAGAAGGTCCAGTGCCAAATACAAATGAGGATCCTGGAGACCCAAACAAATACTTTAATCACCATGACTGTACACTGAGATAATCCTCAAGATAGTTCTAGAAACTCAGAAGCAAACTTCAAGCTCAGTTTTAGACTCTTACCTTACTAATTACATCAAGGTTAAGTGTTGAATAATAATTAAGAAAATTCTACCATTTATTTAGTGAAACATGTAGAATCCATATAAACAGAAACTTCAATTAACATGACTTTCCACCTTCACAGTCAGCAATTTTTGCATGAAGGGATACATCTAAGACCAACCTCCAACCAGAGATTTAACACACTGCAGAAATTGCCCAATGTTGAATATATGTATATACCACATACTTACATATTTTACGTGTTGCTGTAAAAAAAAACAGCATAGCACGCTTACGAAAATACCTCCTGGGGGGAGGGCACGGTTGGCAAACAAACGTAGGAAGTGTGCATTACTTGTGTAAAAATACGTTACTGCCTAATGAGGAATGATGTCTAATAAAATAATCTTCAGTGTGTGGTTATTTACAAGTTACTATTAAAAAAAAAGCTTGGAAAAATAAATTTTTACACTCTTACCAAGATTAGACAATTTGCTTTCAAAAGTGAAATACAAAATGTACATTATTTCATATATTGAATAATTAGAACATGCCTGGTACAGCTGACCTAAAGGCACCCAGGCCAACTGTGATAAGCTGCTGCATTATCTGCTAACAGCTGACATGCGTATAATGAAATCCAATCTAATAACAACACGTTTGTTTTTAAATGTACCTGCAGAGCTAGATGTGGTCGGGGCTCCGAAGGTGAAACCAGCGGTTGCCGTAGTGCTACTGCCGGCTCCTGGCCCGAAGACGAACGGGGCGACAGCTGCAGCTGTCACCGATGCGGCTGCTGGTTTGTTCTCCGGAGAAAACAGCAAAGACTGAGATGGACTGGATTCGGCCGAGTTCCCAAAGGCGGGGCCGCCGGCAGGATTGCTGGCCTGGCCGAACACAAAGGCAGCCGCAGGGGCGCTGGAGGAAGGCGTGGAACTACCAAATAGAACTCCACTGGTCGAAGTGGCTGGTGGACTTGAATTAGAGGAACTGTTGTTCAAGAAACTGAAAACGGCCTTGGCTGCTCCTTGATCTGTCAGACAAATTAAGAAACAAACCAAAATCCTTATGCATAATCTCAGGAAGCATTTTTTCCTGCCCTATAATCAAAAAATTTAGAAAACAGAATAGTAAATATTTTCTACAAACTAGTTGGCCATCTGATATACTGAATTTCTGAGAGTCAGATATACGCATCTTTTCTTTTACAGCTTCTGGATTTTCTGTCTTTCACGGGAAGGCCTTCAGCATTAGATTAAAAGATTAATAAATACAAAAACATCCCTTAAATCCAAATCTACCTGGATGCTGTATTTGGATAGCAAGTTCAGATACTGGGAGACAGACACACTTTTATAAATTTTATTTTTATACCATTACTTACCTGCAATTTGTGTTACAGTATGGAGGATTATAACTTTATTTATCCAGATGGATAGTTGATTTTTTTTTTTTTTGTAGCATTTATTGACTAGTGCATCCTAAGGCCTCTGATTTGCAGGGCCGTCTTTATGATATCCTAAATTTCCAAATATACACTCATTTGTTTCCTCTGCTACCGTCACTAGGCTGCTGCAGTTTCATAGCATGTTTTGATACTGGTAGGGCAAGCCTGCCCTTCTCCCCCAAATTTATTGTGTATTTTCCCTTCTGTGTGAATTTTAGCATCAGCTGAGCTTGTCAAGCTCCACCAAAATTCTTCTAAGAACTCAAGTGATATGAGCGAGAGGAATAATCATCTCACCCGGGAACTTGTATAAGTCTGTCCTTTTATGTTCTCTTAATTACTCAGCATGCTACAGGTTCTGTTGCTTTTATAAAATACAAATTAGAAATGTTACAAAATGAGATATGCTGTACAGCTACTTATTGCTGACTTGGGGAAAAACGATTGACTTCTGTATGGTGATCCTGAATCCAGCTACCTTACTGAAGAGTTTTTCATTGTTCCAATAACGTCTCAGTTCCAATACTGCCAACTACCCAGGGCTGGTCAGTGTGCTAAGGGCATTAGTACCATTTACAGAAAACAGAGCACGCTGGCTCACTTTCCGGTTAGAGTTAGTTAGAGGGAGGCTGGTTAAGGAAATGCCTACTTTGATGGAAACAGTCTAGTGAGTCCATGATTAACTTTAATTAGACCCCATCTCAGTTTTTGTTCCTTTTTAAACATATAATTTTAGTTTTGATTTTCTTTAAAGGATTTTTTTTTTTTTTTTAATTTCAAGCAAAAATTTAATAGACAAAAACTGCTTACACCTTTTTGTTGATTTCTACACTTCTGTTTTGTTTTCCCTGGTTACCTCCTCATTTTGCTTGAGTGCTTTCAACTGTTTCAAAAGTGTTCCTGGGTATTCCAATTTGATTCTCCGCATGTCTGAAAGCATATTTCGCCCTTATGTTTGCATACATCTGGCTGGTTATAGAATTCTACGTTGAAGATTCTTTCCACTTCGAGGGAACTGCCCTACTGTTTTCAGCATCTGATGTTGCAGAGTACAAGTCTGATGCTAATCTGATTCCTGTTTATTGGTGGAAACAGTATTTCTGTCTCTGGAAGCGTTCAGGGTTTTAGCTTTGGTGTTCTAACATGTTACTGGTCTCTCTTAAGAAGTAGGTCATTTCCATTTTTAAGACCACTTGTCTTTCTTTACATCTAGGAAATTTTCTTGTCACGTCTTTGATTCCCCTCCATACTGTTCTCCTCTTCTAAGCACTCCTATTCTAACAGGACTTGTGGCTCTAATTTGGAGCAATCTCTTTGTACCTTTACACTGTGTTCCGAGAAATTCCAGTTCACGAATCTGATTATCAGTTCAGAAAATGATTTTTATTTCACCAACCATGCTTTATAACTTTTAAAAATTCTATGTTATTTTTTCCTGCAGGATCTGAGTTTTCATAATCACCTATTTTCTCAGGGGTTAATTATAATTGTTGTCTATGTTCTTAAAATGTCTGATGATGACTCGTTATTTGCAAATATTTGTAAATGAAGGACTTTATATAAAGATTATAACAGAAAATATCTCATGAACTTATTTTAACAATCTCTGTGTTCCTGGACAGGATATGCCAATTCTGATTATAAACGCCCAAAGACAAGGAAGAAGACAGACATGGATAACTGGCAATATCGTGGGCTTTCCCACAGAGCTACTTCTCCCAAGATTAGATCTGCAGACAACATCATCAGGATCATGGGGGGCAGTTAAAGTGAGAATCCTAGCTCCTTCCCAGAGTCTTCTGTTTTGGGGAGTCTCTCACCTATGTTCAGTGTAAACCATTCCTTGACTTGCAACAGTGTCAGGATATCAAATAACACCTTGTAAAAAAACTGTAATACTTACCAGCTGTGGCACTGGTTTGAGCTCCAAAAGCAAAAGTGGCCTTTGCTGGCTGTTCTGATTCCTTCTCCGATGGTTTTGCCATACTGAAACTAAACGTCGACTTGGAAGCACTCTCATCTTTGGTTGGCTCTGAGCTCCCAAAGGCAAACACGGGCTGACACTTTGGCTCTTCGCCGTCAGCTTTCCTCCCAAACACGAGGGAAGTTGAAGTGACGGGCTCTGGCTGCTTCTCCTCTGTCCTTCCCAAAACAAAGGCTGAGGTGGATGGCAAAGAGGCCTGCTCCACACTGCCAAAGGTGAACCCTACTCTGGCGGCAGGCTTCTCTTCTTTGCTTGCTTCTGCTGTCTGACACGTGAAAGGAGACACTGAAACACTCTTGGTTTCTATGGTTCCAAAGCTGAAGCTGCTCTTGGTCTCGGAGGTCACTGTGGTATTCGTGGCAGCAGGGGCAGGGTTAATAACACCTGTACCAAAGCTGAAGCCTGCAGACGAAGACTTGGGCAGTTCCTCCTTCTTTTCTTGCTGCCCAAGATTAGACACTCCAAACTGAAATGGAGCTAAAGGAGCTGGATTGCTTAAACCAGAAGGAAGTCCAAACTTAAAGTTATTATCATTCTTACTGTCTTTTTTATCTTCTTCAGGTTTAGGATCAGATGAAACTCCAAATTTAAAATCTCCTGTTGGTTTAGAAAATGTAAAGCCTCCACTCATGGGATTTGCAGACTCAGAATCTGATGCCACGCCTGCTGTGAAGCCTCCTTTGTCTCCAAATTTACAATTTCCAGTGTTTGTGGATGTCTGAGAAGGCCCAGAAGAGGAGGGCTGGATACCAAACTTGAAAGATGAAGCTGCTGGGTTTGAAGATGAGGAAGATGTGCCAAAGCCTTCAAAAATATAAAAGATACCGTAAGACAGTGAATTAATGTTCTTATCTTCTCCAATAAAACGTAAATCTTGAAAGCCAAAGCTACACAGGAGTAACTTTGAAAACGCTTACTCTGAAGAGTGTTAGCAACAGCAGTAAACATGAACCAATCTGACCAAGTCTCAGTATTAGAAACACATCTCAAGGTTCACAACTATACTGACAAGTCACTCTTCACCCACCAGACGGGCAGAGATCAAAAAGTTTCCCACAGCTGAGCGTAAAGGGCACTTTCATACATCGCAGGTGGATGTGTGAATCAGCATCAAACTTACGGGAAGCAATTTGTCAATACAGATGAAAAACTACAAACGTATATACTCTTTGACCGAGCAATTCTATAGCTGGGACTTTGTTTTAAAGATAAACTCACAAACATGCAAAAACCCTTATCGATCCAGGCCACTGTAAATAAAGACTGAAGAATGGGGACGTGTCTAATACAACACACGATAAAATTAAGGGGGCAGAGGGCAGCATGGTATCCAGCCTTTTCCAACAAGGGAGAGGGCCGTAAGAATAGATTTGCTTCAGATGTGCAAAAAGAAACTCTGACAGATGTATAAGAAACGAACCACAGCTATCACCTGTGATGGGGAGAGGGTAGGTGGAAAACGAGCCAAAGGGAAAAGAGAGAAGACTTTCACTGTGAACCTTTTCATACAAATCTTGTCAATAAATGTGCTGTTTACTCAAGTGTTTAAAAAACAAAAAACTGTTAGCATCAGAAAGCCAGAAAAATTACATGAGCTTGAAGTAATATTTAAAAAGACAGACAATACTCTACTGCCAAGCTCAAAGTCTTGGGTACATAACGGTTTTCTGTTGCTGAAGAAACTAGAAATGAACCATTTGACTGATTGGCTCAAAACAGGAGTCAAGAAAGAGGTGTCAAGATATGTGTTCATGATTCTGCTTAAAAAACAAACAAACTTGTCGCCATCAATTCTGACTCACAGCAACCCGACATGCAGAACCGCCCCATGGGTTTCCAAGGAGCAGCTGATGGATTTGCACTGCCGATCTTCTGGTTTGCAGCCATAGCTCTTAACCATTGCGCCACCAGGACTTAGCCACACGTAAATAAAGACAAATGACAAGACAAGCTTTAAAAGCCCTCATCCTTAACTTCCTTTTTAAATAATTAGCTACTCCACTTTCTTCCCCAAAGAGAGACTTAGTTGAAAAATGGTATCAAAATCTTAGAAGCAAATGGCAATCCACATGGTCTCTAAAATACATTAAGTGATAATAAACTGAAAGACAGAGAGCTAAAACTGAAGGTGCCAAGGTTATCATCTCTGCCTCCAGGAGGTTTACGGGACAGTTTAAAGGTATGGGATATGGGCTAACTGCACTACAGGCAGAGGCCCAGGAAAAGGGGCCAAGAGGTAACTGCTCCGGAAGCGGAAATGAACGGGAGAGCGTGGTCATCTTCTGAAACACACAACAGTGTTTCCCCAACCGCCAACTGTTCCATTAGTCACGTAATTAGCTAAGTGGGCCGCAACCAGCATTTTCTTCTGAAATGTGTACCTGATTAAAATAACTCATATTGGCGTATAAAGACCTGAAAAAGTTGGCCTCCAGACAGTTTAGTATTAATTACTCTGAAAGGTTCTTCCTTCATATTTACATAGCAAAATGCTGGGACATTTTCTGGGACAGGATCCGGGAAACCAAAACGCGAGCCTCGCTTACTTCCACTAGGACCTAGGAGCGAAAATTCCCAGTCAAGTCAGCCCGGGAGTTCATCTAAATGCCCAAGTGTGTCGTCAACAATTAAAAACAAATAAAACTCTGTCTCTCTCTCAAAGAATCCGTAACACAAGAGAGAACAGTTCTTTATCCAGCCGTTAGAAAACTACCTGCTGACCAGCAAATAATCTGAACTTAAGAGTACTTCAGAGATAGACGCGAGCTACAACTTCTTCTGACACAAGTACTTCAGCTCACAGATATTCAATACAGAAGGAATTAATACTTTAAAAACTAAAGCTATCTGCAAATATTTCACTTTAAAAGGGCATTAGCAGTGGTGAAGTCACTTCCGAGGTTCACCATTCAGCCGGGGATTGGACAGCCGTATAAAACAAAACGGGAATAATGAGGCACAGCAGTCCAGGGACAAGGACTAAAAGGCAGGAGGGGACAGGAAAGCTGGTGATAGGGAACCCAAGGTTGAGAAGGGAGAATGTTGACATGTTGTGGGTTGTTAACCATTGTCGTAGGGCAATATGTGTACTAACTGTTTAATGAGAAACTATTTGTTCTGCAAACCTTCATCTAAGGTACAAAAAAA